GTTGACAAATCTTCGCATTACCCCTAAGCATACTAGATGCATTAATTCTAAAGGAAACTTTGTCACCATGTCAAAATTTAATTCAATTTAACACACCACTAAGATATTCAGAATGCTTCTGATGACAAAGAATCTGAATCAGTACTTAAAATTAGTGAAATATGTAGGAGAGTTATCTTGCCACACCACTCTCCTTTTTAAACAACATTCACATCAGTTATAACCATTGTGTCATTTAATACACTTTATAAATGCTCTAACTGGTGCATCACATATGATTACAGCAAGATTGATTTTAAACTCAATATTTTCATAGCTAAAACCATCTTTTGCAAGAATTTTAAAATCTACCAAAAAATTATGTAGACAATTAAGGTGACCAACTATTCTCATTTACTGAGTTTTGTACTCTTTTTTTACAAACCATACTTTTTTCAAATCCTGTACTCTGAAATTACTTATTTGTATAATTTTGTACTCATTTGTATTTCTAAAACATTTTTTTTATATTATTTCATTTCAATTTTATTAATTAAATATTTAAAATTATTTTGACAGTGATTTGAATTTCATGCGCACATATTGCTTGCCATTTCCAGCACGTCAGAGGACAGGGCAAACACCAGATACAAGTTTGACAGTGATTTAAATTTTGAATGCACATATGGCTGCCATTTTCAACACAATTGAGAGGCCGTATTATGAACCTGGAGAGATAGATAGATACTACAGACCTCTTTTTCTAACAATGTCAAAATTACATTTGTGAAAAGAGATGGATCCAACATTTGCATATGTAATCCCCAGGCTGATCTTTGATGTGCAGTATGTACGCCATGCTTGACAGTCTTGACGCATGCGTAGTATGTACAGCAAAGTTTTTTATCCATTTATTTAATTAAATAAAAGGATAACAAAAACTTTACTGTACATACTACGCATGCGCTTATGGTTAATTAACCATAAAATCAAAAATTACAAACTTAATTATAATTTACAAATTTATGTTCGGTGTCACTCATATTAAAAACTAGTCAATGGAGCGACACCTTAATAAAATAAAAAAATAATAAAACAAAGAAATAATAAAGAAAGTAAACTACATTAATACAAGTAATAAAAAAAGAAGTATAAGGAACAATAATATTAAAAAAGTTAGAATTAGCACAAAAATAAAAAGGAGTAATGCTAAGGAAAAAAAAAAAGAGAGAATGAACGGATGAGATAAGATGAGTGAGAAAATATGTAAGAGAAAACAAAAACTTAATCACATAAGTTCAGAAGGATAGACTGACAGAAAACAATTTTTGCAGAAAAATATAAAAAAACAAATTAAAGGCAAATTTAAATAAAAAAATATATGCATACACTACTATATACATATTAAAGACTATATTAAAGCCTATAAACTGACTGCTTTGGAAGATTCCAATCCCGGAATAAAAAATGAATTTTTGAAAGAAGTTAAGATTTTTATAAAATTTGCTATGATTATATCGAAGAATGGATAGTGAACTTTAGAGCATTGAATTGTTTCAAATGGACCCTTATAAATAGTAAAATTTAATGGAAAAGAGTTTCTTTAGCAGTCAAATTTGTAATAAAGGAAGTAAAAGATATTGTTATTAATGACAATTTTCTCTTTGAAGAAATTCGAAGAGTAAATTTATATTTAAATGAAGAAAAATTAAAGAAATGGAACAATGAGAAAATAGAACTTGACAAAAGATGAGTAGAAATCTTTCGGCATTTTAGAGTAGAACACATCCCACATGAAAATTTAAAAGTTTTAATAGAAATTTCTTTGTTGTCCAGGTACTAATGATGCTGTTGAAAGAGTATTTTCACTTAGGAGTGATTATTGGAGCAGTGAGAAGTTGCAACTTTCTGTAAAAACATTATATGCTGTCTTAACAATCAAATTTAATATGCAATTTAATGTTTTGATGCGGCTACATTATTAGACGAATATACTCAATTAGCAAAAAAAATGCACTCTGAAGAAAAATATGTTTTAAAAAGAAAATAAAGTTTTTATCGCTTTTTCTTCTTTTTTTTTCACCCATGAAATACTTGCAAAGTGTACTCTTTTTAAACAAAAGATAGTTGGTCCCCTTAAGATAATTAAAAATGGAATTAGATTTTTAGGCACCACTCTTTAAACAAATTTCTAAAAAACCCAATTTGGGTTTTTAGAAATTCCTAGGCCTAGGCTCTGACGACAACATTTATAAATAGCAACAACTTTTGGCAAACTTTATTTAAAATTTTTTACATGCATGTTTAAATTTTGCCACTATTTTAGATTTTCATTGAATAAATTCCTATATAAAAATATATTTTATATAAAATATTTATGGAGTATTATTCTCTTTTACTATCAGCTATCAAGCTGATTAAACTGACTTGATCAGCTTCAGCATTATTCTGAAGCTAATAAGTTTATAGCTAAAGCTGAAATATCAGCTGCAATCCCTACTTTATAGACAACATAGTTAATGTGATGTTATCCATTATAATAATAAATGTTTTTTTTATACTAAAATATTTTTTTATTTTATAAAACATTTTTTTCAACACATGTTTTTTTATAATATTTAATACTTAATAATATTTTCTTATTACTCTAATCGAGGTAATAAACAACGGTAATATTTACTCAAATCATAATATTTGTCCGCCAAAGTTAATGCAGTTCTATTATACATAAGTCTCTCACTAATTCTAATAATAAAAAGTTATTACCATTATTATTATAATTATATTTACTAACCTGTTATTACTAATATTTATCAAAAATACATTCTGGTTGTTGAAGTCACTTTTACTCATATCAGTATGCAAATATTGTCAACAGTCAGAGCGCACCATGCAGAAATATTCTTGAACATGCTGCAAAATACAAGATATACATAAGATACATATCATATAAGACGTATTACCTGGAACTTAACATTTTATCGTGTTTAACGTACTATAATTCAATTATAATAAATAAGCATATGGTTACAATCTATATAATAACTATTATCTTTTTTTAGTTATCGTTATTTATGTTAAAGTTATCAAGTTAAATTAAAGTTTTATAACTAAAGTTTGAATACAAAAGTTCATATCAATAAAATTTCTTATCAGTATTATAAACATAAGTATTATATTCCAAGTATTTACAAGTATAGGTATTGTAAGTATAAGTTATTATTATGTATATTATGAAATTATTGTTAATATTGCAAGTATACAATTTTAAATCAAAATCAAAAAAAATCAATGATTAAAAAATGAAGTTGATGCATAACAATAAAGCCATTTTTTTTGCATTTAAACATCTAATTATATCTTTATTTATATCTGACAGTGGGTAAACTTTGTTAAAATCAGTCATTTTGCTTGCATAAAATATAGAAAAATCAATGGAAAAAAGTGGATCTGTAAAAACGATTTAAAAGCTTTTAATTCCCTAAATATAACCTATCCATTACATTCCATTCGCCTGTTTGCTCTTTTTAAATATTTCTGACTAAACCAATATTTTGATTAAACTCCAACCATTTATTACAATCACTTGCAGAAACAAAATTTTATATTTTGATCATTTTTTAAAAATGCAAACAGTGTCTCAATGGAATATTTACTACTTGTTTAATAGTTTCTGGAACATATGTTCAACAAATATGTTAAACTTTGAAATTTATTTTAAAATATATATAAAAAAATTCTTTTATAATGGTAATAAATAAAATTTTAAAACAACGTCTTTTTAATGGAATTTTACAGTGACAAAATACAAAAATTTTTTTTTTCAAATTACAATGTAAATATAATGTATACAAAAAATATAATGCATAAAAGTTAAATTTTTAGTTTTATTTTACGCACAATACAAATTATAAATGGCAACCATAGAGTAAGTTTTGTTATGATTTTTTTAATTATCAGTTTAAACTTTTTGGGAACCTTATGGGAAACCCGTCAAATACCCAGATTATTCGGCCCTGATAAAAACCAGATACAACCCTAACGAGCAAATATGCTTGATTTTATTACCATATGGGACCCGTCTGGAAACCAAAACACTTACCCGTCAAAATCCTGTTCCCGTAAGCCCAGACAAAAACCATACGGTACCCATCTGTCAATGTTGGCTGGGTACTCACCTAAAATTAGAGGTCATAGTCAAACAAATGAATATATATATATATATATATATATATATATATATATATATATATATATATATATATATATAAATATATAAAATAAGATAAAAGAAAAAAATTTGAAAAATCTTAAAGTAAGATTGAAGTTGTTTAGTTTAAAAAAAAAAAACAAAAAAAAAACAATAGTGAAAATAACAATGAAAAATAATAAGACACATTATTATAAATAGTAATTACAATAGCAACGATTATAGTAATAATAATTATAACAATAATTTATTTGTATAATAGAAATAAATTAAAATAATTAAATAAAATAAGTTACAGCAAAATCAAGTTAAATAAAAATTATATTTAATCAAATTATTCTATTTCTTTTTAATAGAATATTTATACTTCTCTTTTTCTTTTTTTACTTTTTTTTCTATATGATTTTTATTGATTATTTGAAGGGTTCAAATTTTTTTCGAGTTCGAGAAACTTATACTTATCTAGTAAACATTTTTTTCTATATTTTTGGTTTCTTTATCGAAAGTTTTATTTAAATTGAGTATTATTTAAAAGTACTTTTTCCTTTTCTTTCCTTTTTTCTTTTTTCTAATTTGATTTCTATTTGTTCATCAAATTATTACTTTACTTAATTTAATTTAGATTAAAATTTTTTTCTTTTTTCATTTATTTATCTATATTCTAATTAATAAAAATAAAAATGATAAAACATGTTTTATCTTAATTCTAAACAAAATAATAAAAAACAAAAATAGAAGATAAACTATTTGTTTTCATAACATTTATATTTATAGATATTTAAATAATATAAAAGTCAAGTGACTTACATTTAGATGCTGAAATAATATTTGGGTTTTATGATCCTCATCTTTAACTTTTAGATTTCTAAGAGCTTCATTTAAAGCTGACTTTGTATTAAATGAAGTTATTCTGTTTTTTTTAACTTTGATTAACTATCAGCAAAAATAGTGTAACTCTCCAATTAAAAACTTTAGACTGGATAAAAATAGAATTGTTTTGCTTGTAAGTGACTTTATCATTTTCAGTAGATAAGTATTTTTCTTCAGTAGATAAGTATTTTTCAATATCTTCAAATTTTAAATTATTAATTATTTTACACTTTTCCAATTCATCTTTTTCGATACCTCTTTTTGAAGAAGTAGATGAAGGTTTTCAAATTTTTGGTGGTGGACAACTTTTAGAGATATTTGGAAACACTGATGGAGGATTAATGTCAAAAATTACGAGATGTAATTAACGGACGACCTCTATGACACTTTCTGGCATAACTCCAAAAACAAATTGAATTTGCGTTTATGTCAAATAAGAATATTTAGCAAAAAGTTGTGATGATTGAAGGCTGGAAACAAAAGTATCAAATGTTTTCCTCCTCTACCACCTCCACCTTAAATGTGAGGGCATTTAGTTAATAAAATTTTTTAATAATTTATTTTATGCTATATTTAAATTTATCTACTGATTTTAAACTTTATCTTATAATCTTTTATTAGATAAAGTGTTTAAAAGTAAAAATTTTAAAAGTGTTTAAAAATGATTTTTAAAAATAAAAAATATTTATACTATATATTTATTTTTACATTAATTTAACTAAATTTATTATATTAAGATTGGTTGTAGTCTAAAAAAAAAGTTTATAACAAACTTAAGCATTATAAAAACAAAGTTCAAATTTTAAACACTTTTGTTTTTGTCAATTGCATGCAATTACTTTTTAAACAAAAAAAAGTTGCCTTGATTATTGAGTTTTATGTCAGTCTAAAGCTGATCAAATGAATAAAATGAAGGACACTGTGTCATAAATCGACCCTCAGGTTGTACTAAATATAACTTGAACAATTTAAAAATCCAAAGGTGCATTTTTAGACTGAAGGGATCAAAACCCTATTAAAAATATTGATAATAGGAGGGCCGAGGGGTCTTGGCCCTTAACTTGCCAGATTTTTTATTATAAAATATAAATCTAACATAAAATATACAAATATTTTTAAATTTTTTGTTGTGATGACTTGATATCATAAAAACCCAAACTATAAAAAATGGGGTTTTACTTTTTATCAATTTTACCAGCAAGGAGTAGAAATATGAAGTACTTATGGTTTTTGCAAAATGTTGCATCAAATCTTGTTTCTTTAATTTTTGGCGTGAAATGTTTTAAAATCTAAATTTATCCTCGCAGTCCGAAATACGTCATAATCTTTGCCGCAAACATCTACCATTTTAGTTGGGGGAAAATAAACTTTCATTATGAAATGAAAACAATGGTATAACATAAAAGTCTTTAAAATGCACAAGGGTTGTTGTGTCTTTAAGTGATTTTTGATATATAGATATACGTGTAAATATAAATAATATATCAATTATATATATATATATATATATATATATATATATATATATATATATATATATATATATATATATATATATATATATATATATATATATATATATATATATGTTTTGTAAATATGTTTTTTCAAAATATTCGTAAACCGATATTTCTTTTTTTAAACACTTTAAACCACTTTTTTGTAATAATTGTCCTGCTTTATTAACTCAACTAATCATTTGTTTTCCCCCATCCAAGATGGTAACAACTTGCGCTATTGTTATTTTGCATAACCACGTGACTTTCCGACTGCGAGGATTGATCGGTTTAATAAATTTTCTATATCTTAAAAATTTGTATTATAATACTCATGACATTGTTATAATCTTAGCAAATAAAAAATGAATATAAATAGTTACTGTTGTGTTTGCTGGGAAAAAAACTAAAATGAGTCTTATTCCAGTCCAAGATACTATCGAAAAACTGATACAGACATATGTATACCAAGGTTATGACTTTTTATCAATCCCATGCTCCTATACTGTAGTTTGATGAACTTTTACCAAAAAAGCACGAAATGAACTATTATTTGCATAACTTTTCAAAAAAGGTCACCCCGCCATTGAAAAAACGATTTTGACATAAGCACTACTATGTATTCAAATGTATTTAGAATGTCATGTCATGTAATACAATAAAATTTTCAATCCAACAATAACTCAGACCGTTGATTTTGCTCTTGCTTGTTGTACAGAAGGAATTGAAGATGCAATTTGTCTTTATTTTTGATTGCGCGTTCTGCGCATTGAATACTTCTGGGTATCTGTAGCATGGATGGCTCTCGCTTCCAGTAATTTTTCAAAGAGCCTAAAGTCTTTTGTATGTAGCTATATTTCAGCCAAGTTGTTAAAGTCCTTTTCATTGAACAGTTGGTCTGTAAACCAATGGTCTGCCCGATATAATTCAACTTTCTACGATATAAATCAACTTTCTGCAGAACTATCCTTGTTGAAGGAATTAAAATGCTGGAGTTCCACCTCGCGTTGCTGATGTTGGGCATTTTTCTGAAACCTGATCAATGGGAAATGTTTGTTTTTTTCTTCAAAAAATTGGAACACTCGATGTGAAATGAAACTCGAGTGAGATGAAACAAAAATTCCATATCATTTCTTCAGTCTGATGCTTTGAGAATTACTTCTGTTACATTATCAAACTGTGTTTTCAATTGTTCGTACTCCTTTACAAATCGATATTTAATGTTTGGCGATTGTGTTTTACATCCAAGTTCTTCATCCATCACCAAAGGGAGGATTCTATTTAATACATGGTATTGACAACTGATAAACTGAGGTTTGTTGATGCTTTTCTCCGTGAACATTCGTTACAATATTACAACAACACAATTCTTTTTTTCCAGTATTAACGCTAGAGGTATCTGCAACAATCATTTGTATTGAATTCCATAGATGAAATTCATCGAGGATGAATTTCACCTTGAATTCCTTGAGCAATAGTTAAAGCCCTGTCATCTACCAAGCCAAGGAAATCCAATTTGATACCAAGCCAAGGACATCCAAAATGATTTCTCTTCTTTCATTTTTAAGAACAACTACTTGATAATCCAATCTGTCGATGTGCTTGTTATCAAAGTGTAAGGACCAACTTTCTATATGCAACTTTTCAATCATTTCTTCTTTTAGCTTGATTGCCTCTGATTGTTGACTTAATAGCTGATTGACATGGAGTTGGGATGTCAATGCCTTCACGAGCCAATTGCTTGCATATGTTAGCAGCTTTGTTTGTTGATACTCTTGTGGAGATCACCAAGTTGACTGCAATTTTACTTTTATGATGTTTTCTGCTTGGTGTAGGAGTTGTCTTATCTTCTTCTTCATCATTTTCATATTCACTGTCGTCAGCCTCAGAATCAGAATCACTAAAACCAGAATAGTAAGATGATGAGTTGGATGACTCATTAGAAAGTTTTTTTTCTTTTAGGGGGATGGATCGTTTCTTTACTAGCCGCTTGGCCTGTAAAGTATCTCACTGTTCCTTTACTTTCCACTTGGAGATGGTACAACCGCTTGTCTTCGGAAGATAGCTTTTCTCGTATAACTTGATCAGATACATAAGGAAAATTCAGTTTATTCTTCCACAATTTGATGACTTTTTCGGAAATTTATGCTATCAGCTCCTTTCTTCCTTTGATTTTTGGTCCAAGGAAATGGTAGTGTCCAATAATTTGCTTTTAGAGAGGCATTCTATATTTTTCTTTATGGGACCATTCTTCTTCTTTTATGAGAGTCTTCAAATTTTACCAGATTATTGGTCCAAACATCCTTATTCTTCTTCAAATTTTACCAGATTATTGGTCCAGACATTCTTGTTCTTCTGAATGCTACTATCGCTAGCTGCTTCTGTAATAACTGTAAAACTAGATGAGCAGTTATATATAGTCTAAAATGTTCTAGAATATTTCAGAATGCTCTAAATTGTTCTAGAATGTTCTAAATTGTTCTAGAATATTCTAAATTGTTCCAGAATGTTTTAAATTATTCTAGAATGTTCTAAAGTATTCTAAAATATTCTGTTATTTTTCAAAATATTCTAAAGTTCTAAACACTTCTAATCTAGACAAATTTTAAATGATTTGCAGGAAAGCCACACGTATTAGTAGTAGCAGTAACAAGATTAATTAAATGACGAAATGTAACTTGAATTGCAAGGTGACCTTTTTTACAACCAAGAGGAATTGAACATGTTTTCAATGTTTTCAAATAAAAGTCCATCAGGTGGCTAAATAAAATAAATCATGAATGATTTATTCTATTTAGCCACCTGCAGAAAACCTCTGATAATAAGAGTTAGTTGTCCTGAGAACAAAGGAGACAGAAATCAAAACCCACAAATCTCTTTTGAAACATTCAAGCAACTTCGAATAAACCTCAATCTTTGAATAAACCTCGATCGAAACAGAAGAATAAGAAAACTAATTTCTACTCTTAACAAGGCGACAAGAAAGAGAGTTGTTTATGCAGATGTGACAAAGTTACTGTCAGATCTTGAATTAACTATAAAACGTTATTACAGTGTTCAGTCCGTGAAATTTGAAGTTGGGGATAAAAATGTTGATAGAAACCTGGTTTTTATAAAAGATTCTTTAGATTTTGTTATGAGCATTATAAGTATAAGAGCATTGAATCTTTATAATATAATTGCACGAATTTCAATTGATGGAGGTGGAGGTTCATTAAAAATAATTGTTAACATCCTTGATGCAGATGAAATTGAAGTTAACAGTAATAATATAACAAACAGAAGTAAACGTCGGGGATCAGACGAATATAAGGGGCAATAAACTGTATGTAATAAACTGAAGATCCTCCTGAAACATATCAGAATATAAAACAAATTTTAGATATTATCCAGTTAGATAGCCTGGGTTTTCATGTTGCATGGGATTTAAAATTGGCTAACATGATTATGGGCTTATCTGGCCGTGGTGGCGTACATGCATGTTTATATTGTGAAAGGAAAAAGACTATAAATGCAGGAACTCTATGTACGTTTGGAAGCCTTGATCCTCATCTTTCGGAGTTTCAAGCAGCAGGAGAAAAAACAAAAAACAGCACAGCTGTATAAAAATGTTATGCGAAGAAGGCTTATTTATCTTGATGAAGATCCAGAAGTTAGACTGACAAAAAAAATTCCTCCATCATCATTACAAATATTAATGGGTTTTATTAATGTTCTCAGCAACCTAGTTTTTACTCTCTAGCCAAACTTTAATCAGTGGCTGTTAGGAAAATACATTCTCAGACATGGCTATCATGGAGGAGGGTTTGACAGAGTGAACTGTAACAAGATATTGAATAATCTTAAAGATCTAGAGGCAGCATTACTAAATGATTGTCTCCAGCTAATACCTATTATTACATGTTTCAAAGATTTAAAGTTTGTTGTGGATAGCTTTTATTTTCTATAAAATTTATCTGCCTGCAAATCAACAGGAGGCCGGATTTGGGTTTGCAAATATCAATATTTGAAAAAAATGTTAAAAGATAAAATATTAAATAAAGATAAAAGATATAAAACTAGCATAAAGATGTTACTAAAATATTTTGGTGCATCAAGTCATCATTTGTTTTCATTAGTATTCGAACAAGTCTTACAAAGTTTCATAAAATGCAAATCTTGGTGCATTGCAAGGATCACAGCACATGCTTTTTTCTGGGGAAGGTGGAAGGAGGGGGATGTAAACAAAAATTTAAATACATTTGTATATTTTATGTTAGATTTATATTTTATATAAAAATTTTAGCAAGTTGAGCATCATGGCCCCTCGGTCCTCCAATTATCAATAGGGTTTAGAACGCCCTCAGTCTCAAAGCGCATCACTGGATTCTAAAAATATTTAATTTCCTAATAAATATCTATATGATGGTATATATTTTTAATTTGAATAAAGTACAACATAAGAGTCAATTTATGACACAGTGACGAGAGTATTATACATTGCCACAAAAAAATCACGTTTTTTTTTCATTTTTATCTAATAACGACACTTTAAAGTTATTCGGCCAAACCCAGCCAGACAAAACATAAGGGTACCATATGGGACCCAAACGGGCTTTGATACAGGACCCATATGGGCAACTTGTTGCTAACCCAGCGGAAGATGCAAATGGGCTCCACACGGGTCCCATAAGAACTTTCGGCTGGGAAAACCATATGGTTCCCGCTATGGACCACCATTTAATTAGCCCATATGGTACCTATACAGTTACGACTAGGTAAATCTGTATACAGCCCAAAAGAAACCTCCAAGTATCTCAAGTCTCATAAGAGTGATTTAAGCGTTATTTAACCTCTGCCTTAAAGTCAATCTCGTCATAAAGAACAAGAAACGTAGAAAAAAACAAACAGATATAACTTAAACTATTTATTATTAAATAAAAAGTTTTAATGTAAAACAAATTTGTCCAAATTTTCTGACGGTGTAAGATAATCTGCATCTATTTCAGTCGTATTAACGACTTGATAAAATTAGAAAAGATATAAAAAATTTTTAAAATATTGGCTTTCAAATTGAAATAAACATAAATTTGAAAATTCTGAACTTTCTTGATGTCACATTTAACCTCTCACAAAATACATATAAGTCTTTCAAAAAACCAAACGATGAATTATTGTATATTAATATTAACTCAAATCATCCACCCCAAATTCTAAAACAAATCCCGATTTCAATTAATAACAGGCTTAACCAAAACTCCTCTAATGATAATGTATTCAATTCCTCCAAACAGATATTTAAAGATGCCCTTAAAAAAAGTGGTTTTGAAAACTTTGAATTAAAATTTGACCCTGAAAAAAAGAATACAAAAAAGCGAAATAGAACTAGAAATGTAATTTGGTTCAACCCCCCATATAGCAAAAATATTTCCATAAACATAGGAAAAGTGTTTTTAAAATTGATCGATAAGCATTTCCCGCCCTCTAATAAATTACATAAAATTTTTAATCGAAATACTATTTAAGTTAGCTACAGTTGCACAAAAAATATGGAAAGAATTATAAAAGGTCACAACAATGCTTTGTTAAACAAAAAAGAAATCCAAAATGAAAAAATTACAGAAAATTTGTAATTGTAAACAAAAAAACAATTGTCCAATGAGTGGAAGTTGCTTATCAAAAAATGTGGTATATAAATGTGTTGTCTCCTCTAAGAATGTACCTGATAAATAATATACTGGCATAACAGAAGGTGAATGGAAAAAACGTTTTGCCATTCATAAGCAATCTTTTAAAAATAAAAAGTATTCAAAAGACACCATGCTGTCAAAATATATATGGGAATTAAAAGATAAAAATATTGATGATTTTACACTGAATTGGTCCATCCTTAAAACAGTGCCTGCATATAACAGTATTTCCAAAAAATGCATACTATGTCTACAAGAAAAATTTGAAATAATTACACATACAAACCAAGAATGTTTATTAAACAAAAAATCAGAATTGGTTTCTAAATGCAGGAACGAAAATAAGTTTCTCCTAAAAAACTATAAAAATAAGTGAGCTCAAATAATAGTTACATTAACTCCACTTTGAAAAAAATATATTATTTTTTAAAAAAGCTTAAGTAATCATTTCTAAAGAATTCTTTTAACAATAGTGTCAGCAAATTACATAAATGTGTGAAAAATTGCAGTAGTTAAGACATGTGACCTGTAATTTAATTTTTGGTATAAATTGAAGTTTTATTAATTTGATCATTCATTTCTGATGAGTCTTTATTGATGAAACACAGTATTAAATGAGAAAAAGTCTTGCTAAGTGATTTTTTACTAATTTATATATATATATATATATATATATATATATATATATATATATATATATATATATATATATATATATATATATATACTATAGCATATTTACATGCGCAATTGCTTACTTTTTTTGCTAGCCTAAATTAAGTGAGCGTTTTTAGAAAACAATGAGGGAAAACGAAGAATAATGAATGAAAATGTTGCTGACCCATACCAAACCCTCAATCGATGTAGCAGCACTCCACTGCGAGTCAGGCTATTTGTCAGTGGATGTATGTACTGAAGCCCCTAGCAGCAGGCTATTTGACGTTAGGTGAGTATGACATCATCATGCTCACCTAACTCAGCAGTATAAGATATATACATACATATATATACATACATATATATATACATATATATACATATATACATACATATATATATATATATATATATATATATATATATATATATATATATATATATATATATATATATATATATATATATATATATATAATATATATATATAATATATGGTTATCAGCATATAGTACCAGCAGTTTCAGGAGAAAAAAAAAGTGGAAGTAGAAACAGAAAAACTTGGAAAGATTTAAAAAAACTACATTTAAGGGATAAAGATGTCCAAGACTGTGTATGTTAGAGATATGGCATTATGAGAAACGTCCAACCTGTGCAGGCACGGAAACAAGGATGCTAAAACGATAATGATGATAATGAAGATGTACAAAAAATGCACAACGAAGTTAATAAGGTCTATTTTGGGTAGACTTATAAGCTCTACAAAAATTATACTCACTACAAAGAACTAAATGAACTGCATTTGTTTTAAAAGCATGTTTTCTTTTTTGTCCGGTCAAATTGAAGCTATGAGCAACAAGGCTGTCTAGCAGCATGGGCATTGACCTCATAATAAAATTTCTTAAATCTTCTCTACCAATATCAACAATATGTTTGGCCTAAAAAAAAGTTATGGTGCACAGATATAAAAAAATTAAAAAATTAAATTAAAAATTGAAAAGTTATTCACAACTGCATTGTTTACAACAATTATTAAATAAACTTTATTTAAAATTTTTTGTAAGTAATTATATTTACAACTATTTTCTTTATTCCGTGATTTTCCAGCTTCTGTGTTACAATATCTATTTCTTCCATTGACTTAGCTGGTAATGGAATACCTTCTGGAAGATATGCAGAGATATGATCATTTAAATCAAGTTTCAGACAAATTGATTGAATTTGTGCTGTATGGATTGCTTGAGTCTTTTTCATATCTTCCTGATTGCTAATAACAGTTGCTAATAAATTAGCAATCATCTGTAGATTTACAGACTCACTTAAATAGAAGAAGTTTGCTGTATTAAACATAAAGACAACAAAATTCAGATTTATAACATATATATCTGATATTGTATAATAATATTATTATTATTATATATATATATATATATATATATATATATATATATATATATATATATATATATATATATATATATATATATATATATATATATTTATAACTTATTCATAATTATTTATAATTTATATAACTAACATAGTTTTGAATAACTATATATAATTATTATATAGTCAAATATGAAGTCATTTATCTGAGTTAACATTATATTATATAATTTGCCAAATACCTGTTAATAATATATGATTATTTGTTTGAACAGGTGATAATTTGTTTTGAACAGAGGCAGAATCTATCAATATACTTTTGGATCGGGAATATTTTGATATTGAACTGTTACATCTACAAAAAAATAATTTTGAGCTCAATACTAAAATAAACCAATGGCGTAACTTTAAACAAGCTAACAATTAATAATAACACATATTATTAAGTACTAAATACATTTTAAGACTGGCGTATGTATTGGTAATGTACCAAAAATAATAGATTTTATATCCGGATACTTTTATTGTTATTTAATTTCTATCCATTATTAGCAAATATACAAGTGTTAAAACAGTTTTTTGCGGTTTTTTGAAAACCAGTTATTAAATACTGCTTGTAACTTGTAACACTTGTTTTTACTTTATAAACACTTAAAGAACATGAGAAAAACTCAATAATATTGAGTTTTTCTCTATAATAAACATAATGGTTCATTAAATATAGCCATTAATTAGATAACTTTATCAATACTTCTCTATTTCAAAGTCTAGTGTTGCAGCTGGTAAAACATTAGATTCACAATTGCTCAACTCAATCACTTTCATAACTGTAAAAGAAGTATAATAATAACAAATGGGGTTGATATATAAATAATTTCATACTGGTTAATGATCAATAAATAACAATTGTGTCATAATTATTGTGTTATAAAGTGATAACAAATTGAATGTTACTTACAGATTCAGCAAATTTTCTCTCATTGAATGAGTCTCTTTGTGAATGAAAGATGGAGTAGGTTTGTCTACTTGAGTAACACAAAAAGCATGGGGTATTCTTTTTTTTGTGCCAAGTTTTCTTTTTACTTTATAAAATAAACAAAATATTTGGATATACAACATTGTCATTATTATGCTTTATACATAAAGCATAATAATAGATAGAGTATACAGTATCGAATACCTTAACAATAGATAAAAAAATTAGTAAACAGACTTTTATAAAATTATAAGACAACCTTGGTATAATCTGATCGTAATCTTCTTCTTCATTCTCAGAAGAACTAATCATTTTACATCTAAATAGTTTTACAAATACTCAAAAAGATATTTCATAATTTATTAAACTATTAATTTCTGAAAGTAAAGTTACCTTTTAACACGTTTCAATGCATTTTTTTCGGCTGTATTCAGGTTGGAGGTGTCCTCTGCTCTTTTGGCCTTTGATCGTGCTCCAGTAAGACTGTCTATAAATAAATTGAAAAACAATAAATTAAAAATTGTTATTGTATTAAACTTGCAACACAGAGGCATTTTTTTGTACTGAAATATTAATAAAATATGATTATAAAAGCATAACATTAAATTTCCCTGCAACTCCTAGTATTCTAGCAGTGTATAAAGGCCAATGCACATCTGAATCCATTAGATTATTTTTAGCCTTTGCAATACTAATTGGATTTAAATTTTTCCTAAATGGCCAAAAGACTGTAATAGATACTTTATTTTTAATATTGGATAGAAGTGAATTGATTTCAACTCCACTTATCCAAGTTAGAGGCACATAATCTGTTGTATTAGCTTCATAGAATAAAACTATTGCATATATAATTGTACTGTGTATCACAAAAATAAAATTAAAAAATTATACACCACCATGACTAGCCTCTTATAATGTTTGATCTAATTTGAGTACTTTTTTTATTAGACACAATAAGTATTTATTCAACATACATATAGGCCTTGCTGAAAAGCAAGAGCTATTGCTCTTGCATCAATCTTTGAGCTTTGATTTATCAAATGATACATTTTATGAGTATATTATAATAAAATATACCATAAAATGTAAAAAATATAATCATAAAATGTATTGTGTAATGTATCATAACATATATCAAAGCTCAAAGAATGATGTGAAAGCTATAGCTCACACTTCCCGCCAAGGCCTGTACATGGTAGTATATTATGTTTCTAGAAAACTGTTTAGAATAAATCATAATCACAAAATATCAATTAACATAATACAGTATCGTCCACAATTATTTTCGTCGCGTCCACAATTATTTTCGTCGCGTTCACAATTATTTTCGTCGCGCCCACAATTATTTTCGTTTGTCCATAATTATTTTTAAATCAAAACACTTTATTTTTTAAAATTTTTGAAATCAAGAAAAAAATCCAAGTATAATTTAATCAAATAAATTCATTACGTTGAATTCCTTTTAACATCAACTCACGCATGTGAGAATAATAATTCTCAAAAGAATATTCGGTAAAACCTGATTAAATCTCAGTAATAATTTTAATCATTTCTTGTGAATTGTTAGGCCGCGGTTGTATTCCTTTAAATAAATTTTTAACCACGCCAAAAAACTCCTCGATAGGATTAAGTTGAGGACTGTAAGGTGGTAAAAACTGGATAGTACAATTACTTTCTCGAAATGCCGATTCTACTATTGATGAATGGTGGAATCGCGCATTATCCATTACTACAACATATCTGCGATCACTTAAAACAGGTCTTAAATCTTGTTCTATCCAGTCGTGCATGCTAGTGGTATTAAAGGCTCCAATCTTTAGTTTAAATCCAGTACACCCTTTAACTGAAATAGCGCATATTAGGCTAACATTTCTTCCTCTCTGTGTGGGCACTGTAACAAACGGGGTGCTTCCTAATAATGCATATCCATACTGTCGTAAATCATGCAGATTGAACCCGGTTTCATCAATATAGACCAGATCTGAATTTCACAGAAAAGAAACATGATTGCAAAACATAAACCTCGTTGCTATTACTTGAGCTGAATTTCTTGCAACAACGATCGATTTAAGCCTTTTACGGGTATATCCCATTTGTTTTAATTCTCTTTTGATTGTAGTTGTCGAGCATTTATGTTCTTCTGGCATTAACTCTGCAATGTCAATAGTAGTTAATGGATTATTTGCATTAATTAATAACTCGATTTCTCTCTTTCTTTCAATATTATTTCGTGCAGCTCTGCCACGTTTTTTTGGTATTATATTTTGGTCTGCTTCAAGCTTTCGTATCCAGTTTTGTATTGTCCTAATTGAAAGACCTGTTGCATTTGCAATAGATCGACTTGATTCGTTGCCAATCAACATTCTTTTTATTGTACCAATATTTTCTTCCGTTGCTGTTTTGTTTTTTGTTTATTCAGCCATTTCGATATTTGGATTATTGAGTTGTTGTTAGTCATTATGGCTTAAAGTGTTTTGATTTAAAAATAATTATGGACAAGCGAAAATAATTGTGGACGCGACGAAAATAATTGTGGGCGCGACGAAAATAATTGTGGACGCGACGAAAATAATTGTGGACGCGACGAAAATAATTGTGGACGCGACGAAAATAATTGTGGACGCGACGTAAATAATTGTGGACGCGACGAAAATAATTGTGGACGATACTGTAATCATAAAACTGATTAATTGCAAAACTAATAATGAAAAAGTAATAATTTTATAAATAACTGTTCTGAAGTCAAATAATATTTTTACTTATCAAAATATAACAAAATAGTAAAGTAATAGTGTTTTTTGCAACAAGTTATTTGATATACTAAAAAAATGTATTTGTGGAATAACTACAAAGTAGGTAGTGAGTAAAAATTTCAAATTGTTTGTCAATACAGTATTTTAAAGGTGAAAAACTTTAAAAATCAAACAAATGGTTAAAAAATTATGGTGATTTAAGTATCAATTTTTCAATATATGAAATTGTTGAAGAAACTGTGGTCAAAATCATGTTTTTCCTCACTTAAATTGTCATAACTTTTTTATTTCTTATCGAAATACAAATATCTTGGTGTCAAAAAATAGGTGTAAAAGTGGACTACAATTTTCGGTAGTATAATTTTATAACAAAAAAAGTTGTTATAAAATTATATTAAACCACCGATGATATGAGAGGCGTATGTTAACAATGGAGGTGGGTGCGGTGGTGATGGTTTGATACACCCTAGTATTAAATATGACTTTTTTCATAAATATTTTTATCTTTACTACAATGAATTAAATAGTATACATAATAAAAATATGTTTTACAAGAATTTACATACACAAGTGGCGTTGATATATGGGTGTGTGTGTGTGTCCAATCCCCCCCCCCCCCCGCCCCAACCTAAAAAAAAAAATTTAAATAACACAAATACTGTTTTCATAAAGTCTTTAAAAGTTTTTTTCTGTATAACAAAAAGTTCTATAAATTAATACCGGACAACTACAAAACATTGAAGGTAAATGTAAAACTAATGTTAAATGTGTTGATGAAGTTTTAACACACCCTAATATAAAAAAAATTTAATTATGAAATATCTGATTTTTTATTTAAAATACAACAACAAAGAAGTAAAAAATATATCTTACTCGGTCAAAAGTTACATTAGTGTTGCATCCTTTGTCAAATAAGAGGGGTCATTCCCCCTTCTCCTCGCCTGAAAAAGTGTAAACTTTTTTTTGAAAAAAACCTTTTCGATTAATTAATAGGAGAAATAGTTGTTAAAATATTCTCTTATTACTGAATTACTTCTATTATAAGTAAATAGTGGCAAAAAGGTAATCAAAACAAGGTATTTACCAACCTTTATAAATCTTTCAATTTTTTATATAGTGCTTGATAGTAGCTTGGTTAACAAAAGGTTTGGCTGCTTCAAAATAAAAAAATAAAAATGTTATTAACACTAAATAATGTTCGATTATTTTAATAATGCTTTATTTCTATAGTTTTGTCTTGGCTTTTAGTGAATGATTACAATAATAAATTCCACTAATGAAATTATTTTATAATCATTTTTAACAATAGACACCACGTGAAGGTAAGCCAGAGCCGTCTATCAAAAAGGCATAACAAGTAACAACACTTGCAGTACTTTTTTTAGCATGTCACAGCACATGCAGTACTTTTTTTTAGCAAGTCACAACACTTGCAGTACTTTTGTTTAGCAAGTCACAACACTTGCAGTACTTTTTTTGCATGTCACAGCACATGCAGTACTTTGTTTTGCTTATGAATTTCAAATTTATACTTTCACAGTGTTTTAATAATATAATATAAAATTAATAAAATTGTAACTCTCCTAAAATAACATCTGCAACAAGCTGGATCTTTTTCATACAATGATCGACAGCTTTCATATCTGTTTCGTCATCTTTCCAGTAAGAAATAGTGTAAACTAAGTCATTTTTTCTGCTACTAACTTTTTCTACTCTGCCATTATACAAAACAGGCTTGAATGTATTTGGATCGTGCCATTCATGGTATAGTTTTTTGCCTACAATTCTTCCAGACATGACATCTTCTAAATCTTCTAAATAAAGTTGGTCATTAGACAAGTTTTTGTATGACCCTATCTTTATAAAAAACATTACCAGTTGGATCAGTACAAAATATATTACAAGAACATATTTTAAATTAAAATCATTTTGCAAAGTAAAAAATATACACGCTTACCAGTAAGATTAGAGGAAGAAGGCACTAAAAATTTTAAAATACATAACTTTAAAATATATAAGATTACAGAAAACATACCAATTTTATAGTTGTTTTTAAAATTTTAATATTTAAAATTTATCAAAAAGTAAAAATAAAAAAAACCTTACCAGTTTGAACAGATATAGATGACACTTCAAAAAAAAAAAAAAAAAAAAAAAAAAAAAAAATTAATAAAAAAAAAAAAATCTTAAAATTATTTTGCCATATAAATCATTTTGAAATGTCATAATATATACACCTTACCAGCTGCAACAGATGACAAGACAATATTAAATAATAAAATGACACAAAAGATTAAATAGTACATATAAATATTACATATTGAATATTTCATAACTCAAATAATAACATAATACATAATAAATAGTACAATACTGCATAATACGCAAAATCAAACTATATTTTTCTATATATACACATAAAAATACACATTAATCTCTTACCAATTAATGAAGTAAGTGATGCTAAAGAAGTAAAAAGGAGTATGTAGTAACAATGTTAGTATAACAATAGTCTACTAAAATTAACTTAATTTCACTTTTGGTTATAATATCTTTAGTTACCATGTAGCAACAAAGTAAACACCTTTAGTGTGTATTAATAAAGTAACAATCTTTAGTTAGCATGTATCATTAAACTATACCATTGAAATTGTTAAAATTTACTAAACTTACAAATTGCCTGTCTGAATTCACCTAAAAGCTAATTTAAATTACGAACTTTATTATAAAATTAAACTATAACATTAACATTGCAAAAAATAAATTTAAATGACTAAATAACTAAAATATTTTAAACTTTACTTACTCATTACTTGTTCTAAATTGTCTATAGAAAAAAACAACAATGACTCAATAAAAAGAAAGCAACAATTAGGAATACATAAATAAACAACTGTAGAAAAATTTTGTGGATAATTGTAATAAAGATCTTTAAATGAATACTGAAAGCAGATAACTAAATACTAAAATAATAAAGCATAACAAAGAAACTGACTTATCCTCTTAAAGGCATCATCTAAAAAACAATTGAAAAACTTTTTTTAACAAAACAATACAAACATTTGTCTAGACTTTATCTACTAATCTTATGTTAAAAGAAACTAATGGGTATGGAATGTGTAAAATAACTAGCTAATATTGTTGGCTGCCACCATTGGACTGCTTTGAGTTGCTAAAACAATATAACAAATGTTTTTCATTATTATGTTACATGTATTATACATAAAAGTTGAATAATTTCACTAACATATATAAGTTATATATGAACGCATTTTATTTAATAAATAAAATAAATAAAATTCAACTGTAATAAATAATATAAATAATTTATATTATTTATTACAGTTGAAAGATAAGCAGTCAAATATTAAAAAAAAAAGGATTAACAGTATTACAACAATCTTACATTGTAATACAATGTAAGATAAAATATGTTATAATATTAATAATGTCTTTAAACTTTAAAGTAACATTAAAATTCATTTAATTTAAATGAATTTTAATGTTTCCTTACTAAGTAAGGTAAGTAAACTAATGTTTCCTTACTAAATAATTTAATACTTTAAACTTTAAAGTATAAAGTAAGTTACTTTAAACTTTAAAGTATAAAGTATTAAATTTTAATAACTTTACATCAAAGGCAAATAATTTTTTTTTTAGTTTTAATAAATAGGAAACAATATTGAAAACCTTTATCGTTATTTTGACCTTCCATTTTATTTAATTTAAAAAAAAAAAACTGAAAATGTTATTCAATCTAAATCAAATATAAAAAATGTTTAATTAACCCCTCTGTCTCCCGCGCCTATTTCAGCAAAATAAGAATTAGGTACCAAAAGTGCGACAAAAAATAGACACCCTGCTACAACTTTTTTTTCAATGAAATTTTCCAGGTGCATAGATAAATGAAAAACTTAAATGAAAGAATAGTATAGAAAAATGAATGAGCATACCTTCGACATTAATTTCATGCCCAAAGTACAACAAAGTTTTAAACATCAAATAACTCTTTAAAAAAGCAATCTATTAAAATAATAAACCTAACAGTAACAAAGTTTAACTATTCTAGTTTCTAAAAGTAATCTATATTGATATCAAATTCTAGAAAGTTTTCCAAAAAAAAAATTCTAAAAAGCATGGCACAGTTTTTTAGCACAAAATTCGGTTCCGTAAAACGCGGATTTCCACGTGCCTATACAAAGCCATTTTTAAATGGTAGTTTAAAATACTTAATATTTAGTTAGTTATCAGTTAATATGTTTTTACTAAAATAATATTATCATTAATACCAAAGCAATTGTCAGTAGTAACAATAGAAACCAGAAACTATGGTCCAAAATATTGCTTGTATTGAATGTAATGACGTAAAAGCAATGGTAGTGGACCTAGCAAGCTTTATCAGTTATCAGTCATCTTTGTCAGAAACTATTAGAAAAAATTAGTTTTTTACTTAGTTTTTTAACTATTAATTAACTAAAGATTAACAATAAATAATAAATGGTACTAACATTATTATATTTTACTACTGTGATATTACCATTTTTAAAGTTTTTAACTAACATTTGGTTAACTAACTTTTGAAACTACTAAGTTTTATTTACTAACTTTTTAAATATAAAAAGTTTTATAAAACTAATATTTGATTACAAGCAGTGTAATTTTTAAACTGTATAAATACTATACAAACATCCAACCATAAATAAAAAAATTATTATAAGCATGAATAATTTTATGAAAAAAAAAAAAAAATCAATCATTTTAATTAAAATACAATAAAATAAATCGCACGTAACCGATTAGCCATTTTTATTTTGAAAATAACCTTTTCAAATCTGCTTCGATATTAAAAAACATATCACCGTTTTTATTGCTTTCCCATATGGGTCCCAGACCGAAAAAAGCCCTCACGTATCCCATACCAGATACCCGGACGACTCCTATACGGTACCCAAATCTGTTGGTTGACTGGGAACCGTAGTCAAATTAAAAAAAGTATTATTTGAACTGGCAATAATCAAAGATTTAAATCAATTTTCACTGAGTTAGATTATTTAAAGGGCTTATGAAACTGTAGAAAACAAATTCATTTGTTGTATTAAGAAAGAAAAGCGATTTGGTAGCGTGATTTATTACTTTTTCAGTATAGCAGTCGAATGACTGCAAGTTGAGAGCTTTGCGTCGTAAAGGTTATGAATGTAATATATATAAATGTTCAACTAAAGAAACTTATCGAGAAAAGTTATTTATCGAATAAAATTTTTTTTGAGACAGAATGGAAAAATAGAGATCTTTTTGACACAAACATTTAACGAGTTTTTACGCAATTGTTAAGATAGCAAATATTTTCTTGAATCTATTAATTATTAATGGAACAGTTTTTTTTCTTCCTGTCAAAAAAATCATATTTACATTTCACTTTTCGTTTATTTAATAAAAATTAACAAAAAGAATAAGCTTTAAGGTCAAGCAAATTTATAACTAAAACGCACAAAAAACACATCTCTTAACATATTTTTAATAAAAAAATTATATTTTTCTTTCTGAGTACCATGTTACTTTTAGTGTCCAATTGTATTTACTGACAGAATATATTTTATAAAAATAAAAGCGCCAACCTAAAGCAGACGCATACGGAAAACTTTAACAAGGAAAATAAACAAGTAAACATTTGCTGCAAACTCATTGTTTCAACATATAAAAAGAAATGGGGAAAGCCTCAAACAAAGCAAATTAAAAAAAGGAAAAAAGCTATTCATTCATTTTATTAAAAAAAAACAAAACCTTAAAGTTATTTGCAATAACATATGTTCAAACTAAAAAAAAAAAGAATTGAAAAATGCTTATAACGAAAATATAATAAAATATATGAATAACAATAATAAAACTAAAATAAAAACATAATCATATAATAAAGACGTCAGAATAAAATTGATAGGTATATATAAAAATTACAACTACTTCATTACTTAAAAAATTGCTTTCACTGATTTGAATATGATATTTCAAATAATTTTTTATATTTTTATTTTTAAAAAAATAAAATACTACAGAATATATGAGCTAATTTCAAAATAACTTCAGTTAATTTTCCCGCTTTCCTCTATGAATAAAACTTATTTCCCTTGTATTCATTTATGAAACTTATAGTGAACTTAAACCCTAAATGAATATTTTTTTAAAAATATCAACAAGATCAAACAAGTTAGGAACTTTAGTTGTGTAAAAAGCATTGTTAACTCAACCACAATTCACCACAATGTCTTTATTCCTTCGAGAACACTAGAGTCAGTGTCAGTAGATATTTCTTTATTTATTTACACATTACTTTAAACCATATATGATTTTAGGCATACTGAAAAATGCATATACATCAGGAAATTTTTTTCCTAATACATTATCATTAGAATTTGTTTATGCAAACGGCATAATACAAAAGCAAAAAAGTTCTAAGAGCAGGTGTCTATGACTAGAGCCAGTAATAGGCAAATTATAAAGAAGTCTCATATACTCATTGTAACATTAAAGACTTCAAGTTATCCTGCAGTATAGTGTCTTTGACAGCATGGAAAACAAATTTAATGTTTTCTGTATCAATAGCAGTTGTAAAATGATGAAAAAGAGCTTTTGAACGCTCACGTCTACGACTGTCAAACATTTGTAAAATAAAGTTCTGGACATCACTTAGATTGTATGGGTCGCCTTGGAATTGCGGAAAGAAATCTTTAATACTGTTATGTCTATTTCTAATCTTCTGTTCAAGCAGGTCGGTTTTGTTGAGAAACAAGATAATAGAAACCTTTGTAAAGCATTTATTATTCACTATTGTCTCAAAGATCATGCATGACTCAATCAGACAATTTGTACGCCGATCTTCCATAATTACTTGATCATAAGCACTAGAAGACACCATAAATAGAATTGAAGTGACATTATCAAAACACTGAAACCATTTTGTGCGCTGTGACCTTTGACCGCCCACATCAACCATAACAAACGGAACACCTTTTAAATCAAATTCATATTCTTGAATACCTTTAGTTGCTTTTCTAGAGTGAAGCATGTCCTGCTTGCTGGGCATAAAGTCCTTAAAAAATATAAAGATTAAAGATTTTTTTTCAATATTACAATCAAAAATATTTTACTATTAATGTAAAACTATTAAGTGTGAAATGAACTTCTATGGAAAATCTCCATAAATATAAAGTAAATGAATTTTTATATAACTTACTTTTCGTCCTACTCGATCCAAACTATCAAGAAAATAGGATGTAGAATCTCCCTAAAAAAAATTGTCTAATCAAATAAAAAAATATTGAAATAATAATAGTTAAAATTAAAGAAAAATTAAATTTTATACATATACTTAACAATTAAAATAACATTAAATAAAATAATAATATTAAAAATAATAAAGTCAAACAGAGAAGACTGTGTATATATATATATATATATATATATATATATATATATATATATATATATATATATATATATATATATATATATATATACATACATCAAAATGCTGTAAAAAATATAGCAAGTCAATTGATATGATCTAAACCTACAAAAAGCAGAGTTCAAAAACAATAGGCAGTAAAAATTAACAAAACAAATAATTTCAAAAGTAAATAGTAAAATAATTATAACAGTGAAGGCCTCCATATAAACTCATTAAAAATTTTGATATATTTTTACCTATGATATTTTAAAAACTATTTAACATTTATCAATACATTTAGGTATGTTAGCATGGTAATAATAGAGTTTGTTAACTTTAAACTTATTATGTACATAGTTACAAGGCAAACAAACAAAAAATAATAAAAATTGTCCTTTATAAGTAACCCCAAGCCCCCAGTTAATATACATATACATACTGAAGCCCCTGATATTTAAATATGACATTATCAGCGACATTTCATGTGTAGCTAAGTACACATTTGTTGAGTTGTCGTTTATATTGATTATCATGTACTAATGTAATGCAATATTAATGTTTCTAAATTAGATATTTTTTACTGAATTTAACAACTGTTATTAAAAATTTAGATTTTTAAAAGAGCTTTTATTTTTTTAAGAACAATCAATGTCTGCCAAGAAGGTTTTTTCAGGAATATTAGTAAAAGATAATTAGGCAATATTATAATAAAACAATAAAATATAACAAATATAAAATATACAAAACAAAAACCATATTAATCTTAAAATTTCATTTAAAAACAAGAATAAAACAAGATTACAATTTTAAAACGTCAGTTAAAAAAAGTGAAAAATTTGTCTACAAATTAAATACTAAAGTACTGCCTTTTATAATGCCTTATATAAAGCAAAAGAATGAAATAACTATTCTACAAACAAAGGATCATTAATTATCACTTTAAAATAATGTTTTGCCTGAAAGTAATAATTCTAGAAGTAATGATTTTTTCTAAAAGTAATAGTATAATAACTCCAGAAGTAATAGTTTTTTATTAAGGTATATTAAAGACTATTTTGTAAAATAAATAAACAGACAAAAATCATACATTTGAGATGTGATTAACCTCCTTATATTAGAAATATAGATGTTTTATTTTTATGCTGTATAAATATTTTGTGCGATTATAAGAATATATATATATATATATATATATATATATATATATATATATATATATATATATATATATATATATCTTCTTGGATTATTAAACATAAATCGTTCAAATTTATTTAATATATTTTCAATCTACATACCAACTGAAACTCATTTCGTCTTTTAAAAGCTGTTTGTATACCAGTATCATTCCATAGATGTCTAATTGCTTCAACATGTTCCAAAAAAAAAGCAGTATCAAAAGTAGAAGTTTGATGGTCAATATTTAATATATACTCGCCATATAATTCTGAATTTGGATCACCCCATGGTATATCTAATTTTCTTCTTGCATCTGCAAGTACTTTCATGCCTTTTAAAACATTTGAATAGATAATAGGTTTAAACTCTAATAAAGATTCCTCGGAATAATCTTTACCGTGAATAATTCTCATTTGTTTTAAAAATGTTGTTTTTCCACTTTCTCCAGCACCTAAAAGTAAAATTTTTACTCTTCTCCTGTATTGAACTTTTTCTTTTGCAAGAAAAGTATCAATTTTTTTTGATTTTTGTTTATTTTCGTAGTCTTCTTGACTCATGCAACAGGGTGCGAACGCCATGATGTTGATTTTGCTGGACCACTCTCGCACTGAAGACTTGGAAAGCGATTTGTTTTGAACAATTTACAGGCTGCGTATTGTCGTCTTCTAACAGTTATCTCATACTTTAGTTTAATACTAACAATAAACCAGATATAAAAAGAATTTTTAATAATGTGTTCAAATTTTTAAAATCAACACAAAATTACCAAAAAAATTATAACATTGTTGATAAACTATGCAAAAAGTTGTCCTTATTTTTTGCTTTTATGTAAAAGATTGAACATTTATTAAATTGTGAAAAAAAATCATTCCATAGTCTGCAAAATATAAGTAGGCGTCGAAACAATTAGATAAAATAATAACATGCATGCAACGCATGCGTCAATAAAAGATACATCATTTTCAAAATGGCAGGCGTACCGATAACGCTAGTGGAATTGATAGGTACTTATATAGTTGGCATAATTAAACGTTTATAACCTGGTTCTACTTGCCATTTTTTTGTTGAATTGAAACTTCTTGAAGTTCATTATCACTTCAGTCCTTTTATTTAACCTAAATGACTTAAATTATATTACGCAAAACATATTATCTACTTATACCTAAATGTGCATTGATTGTTTACTGAAATTCTATTTAAAAGTTATAATGTTTATAACTTTTGCTATATCATTTTTTAAAGTTTTTTTTTATTGTTCAAGCGTTTCATCAACAATTTTTGTTGTTAATTTTGTCTTAGCAAATATACAACAGCGCAAGAGTAGCATTAAAGTTTGTATTTGAATCCAAAAAGTAGTCAAGAGAATAAAGACTTTATAGTCGATAAAAACAAAGTCTATTTGAGAGTATAATAGTTTAATGGTGTATAATCAAAAAAAAAATTGATTATAATGTATTTCAAAATATTTATCGAGATGGAGAACTGGTAAGCATAGACAATCAGCACAAATATAGGCTATTTTTTTTAAATAGGTTTTTTTTAAACATATTTTGTGACAACTGTAGCAGGTAAAACATCTTTTATAGATTTAACCATGTAAATAATAAAAATCAAAATTTTTATGTGCATCTAGTATAACATTTTAAAATCTTTAAATTATTTTTTCTTGCACAATAATGTGAAACTGTTGCTAAAAATAATTATTTTATTTTTTACAATTTGTTAGTAGTAGTTTTTAATAAAGCTTTTAGTATCATTAGTGAATCTTAAACTTTAAATAAATTGCTTCTGCTGCTTGTTCACTAAACAATCCAAGTGCAAACTTATGTTAATTTGCATAAGTCTTATAATGTTGATCTGCGCGAGACTTACGTTGTTCTGTATAAGCACTCTCAACATTTTGCAAAAGTTTATGACATTCATTTGGCTTTTTATGGAATAGCTGAAATATATTAACAACTCATCTACCTTGACATTAATCAAGGTAGATAAACTGTGTTGTCAAACTCCATATCTGTTTTTAATTTAAAAGTTACACCAAGTCTTTTTTTAAAAGGCACATTATTTTATAATTTGACTAATAGATCTTGGTGGTCTACACCTGATTAGTTTTTAATTTAATTTTTTATGCATTAAAATAAGCTTTAAAATTAACCTGTTTTACAGATCCTTTTAAAGTTAGTATTAATGAACAACAATGCAAAATCATTTTTTATATAATAAGTCATTTGGATAAAGTATTTTTGTCAATTTAAAAATTAACATTTTCTTTTCTTTTAGATACTGCAACCAATGTTCACAATCGAGAAAGTAATGATGTTTATGCAGGTTATGTTTCAAAACAAGTTAATAAAGAAATCGATGGGTCAGTTTCTTTCAATCTTAGCAAACACATTTTTTCAAATATATATATGTATATATATATATATATATATATATATATATATATATATATATATATATATATATATATATATATATATATATATATATCAGGGTGTTACCCAGCCTGATGGCACCGCGTATAAGGTGGTATTCCCAATTGGTTTAAAATTCCCAAAGATTTATAAGATCATAGTAAAAAAAAAAAAAAATTTTCTTTAAATTGTGCTCTTCTCGAAATATGTAATTAAGGCGTTTTCAGACATTTTCAAAAAAATGTTGTTTTTAGAATTACCCTAATTATATATATAAATATATATATATATATATAATATATATATATATATATATATATATATATATATATATATATATATATATATATATATATATATATATATATATATATATATATATATATATATTAGGGTGTAAAAAAAATATTTTTTCAGTTCAGATGGTGCGCCGCACCAGGGCCATAAGAGTTTAGTAAATGCGGTTTTATAAATGCAATGTTCTGTTAAGTTACTAATAGAAGGAAAGGCATTACACCGCAATTATAAAACTTGTCATTGATTAGTCGTCGCTTATGCAATGCTATCTCGTTAAAGTAATGTTAAATTGTATTAAATTTAAAAAACAGCTTTATAAAATATGGGAATGTTAAATAAAAGAAGTAAATATAAATTTTCACTTGTTTTATTTAGTTAAAATTAAATTATTTTATTATCAATCTTTTTGAATTGTTTTTTTTTTTCAACAACTTTTTACTTTGTTGATTTCCATGTTTTTAATCCTCTGGTGGTTGATGCAAATTAAATAAAAAAATTTTTATTAAATTTATTACAGAAAAATAATTTTTTATATTTTTTTAGATTTATCAACTTAATATTTTTAAGATTCTGCGACAAAATAGCCATCGCAAAAATTAAATAGCAACTAATGAATAAAAAAAACTTGAAGCTTTTTACAAAAATGATTGAAGTAGATATTGATTTAGAACCTGGACCTGGTGCTATAGAGTTAAATACTTAACTGCAAGTTAAGTGGTGGTTCACTTCACCAATAAAGTACAACACTTGACATTATATTCATGACAGCAAAATTTCCTTCTCAATAAGAAATAAATAATTTTGTTACCAGAGGTCATAATTACTTTCCTTTAAACTTGACAAAAGATGATAATTATCAAAAGTTTCCAGACAGTTTATTAAAGTTTAGAAACATTAATGCAGCAAAGCGTACTCGAGACCAGCTTGTATGGAGCAAGCATAAGGCTTCTTTATATTTTTTTGTTAACAAAGTTATGTAACAAAATTCCAGATCATGAAAAGAGTGATGGGCAAAGATAATACTATCTTTCATAACATCAATTAGAATGACATCTTTCAATGCAAGGCGGTATTTATAATTTCATTAAATCATCAATTAAAGTGGAATTAAAAAATGGCACCAAATTTTGAGAAGAATTATTGATATTATCTTTTTCTTAGGAAAATATAGCCTTGCTTTTCAGTGATCTTCCCAACGCATTCTCAAATAAAATAAAGGAGATTTTTAGGTCTGATAGAGTTGCTCTCTTACTGGGACCTTATTCTAAATGTAGAGTCATAAAAAATGGGATAAAGACTGCAAGTACATTACTTCTCAAATGATTCCCAAAAAGACTATTGCAGAATGTTCTGATCTTGTCAAGCAGCATGTTTTGGATATTCTGCAAAGTATTACCCAGATATTCTTTAAAGATATTCTGCCAAGTACTACCTAGTAATTGTAGACTCTACAACAGATTCATCACATGTTGAGAAAACAACATTTATTATACATTACCTAGTTCGCCATGAATTGCGATATGAAATTGTGAAACAATTTTTGAAATTTGTAGATTGTAGTGACAAAAAATGGTTTTGAAATTGCTCAAATGATTACAAAAATGTTAAAAAGTAATACTATTCCACTGGCTGATTGTAGGGCTTAAGGTTATGACAATTTGCCAAATATGTCAGGCAAAAGAACTGTGTCCTACTGCTATGTTTTCTCTTTGTGGCTGCAACACACAACTTATGTGGTAATGATGCAGCTGAATATATATATATATATATATATATATATATGAGAAATTTTAGCGCGAGTGGCGGTCGTAACATTTGATGTTATTTAAGCTATTAAAAATGAACCAAAAATGGAAATGACTTGAAACTTTTCAGAAATGTGAAATACTATTGCATAATTTAGTATGCAAAAGTTAAAGTATTGAAGTCTTATACTTTTTTTAAAATTAACTCTTTTTAGCGTTATGGTTGTAACATTTACTTTTTACCACTTCTGAACAAAACAGCTTTGTCAAACTAATTGCAGCTAACGGCTCGTTAAAAAAAGAATCATTTGGTTAGGGCATAAGCACATATTGATATCATTATATCAGGCTTGGTCGGGAAGCGGGAGCAATCGCTCTCAAATACTGACCATGGAAATTATATTTAGTTGCGAAAAACTGGCCAGGTTTTTTGAAACAAAAAAATTTTGAATTTTGAATTTTGAATTTTGAAACAAAAAAAATTTATTTTACGGACATACATGGAAACTTAAAAAAACTTAAATGTTCTCAAAACATCTTGGTGCGAAAGAATAAAAAAAATATTCACGAACACTAAAAACACGAACAAACTAATTCTATTGGTTCAAAAAATACGCTGACTAAGCGAAATAAAGTTCTAGAGCATTCTGTAAAAATGTTTTAGAAATTGTATTATTCACGATTTGTTACGTTTTGAGATTTCTAGCATAAATCGTATATTATTTGTTTACGAAAATAAATGTTTTAAAAATATATTAATTAAATTGTTAAAATTTTAAAAGTTTATTATAAATCATAGATTTTATTAGTATATTCTTATTTTTTATTTTAAAAGAGATTGTATTCTTTATGTAAATGTAATTTTGTGTATTTGTTTTTTATTGCAATGTATCTTTTAAAACGACTTTCATGATTTAAACAAAGACTTACACAAATAATTGCATTTTCAATGAAGTTATAATCGTTAAAGTTAATAAAACTAATTATGTAACAGACATATAAGAAGTTTCTGGTTACTAAGCACAAACACCGCATACAAACTCGCGGATGAACAAGCACCCCGCCTGAGGTCACGCAGAACACAAATATATATAGCAAATAATTAGATATAAAGAAAAGTTTCTAGATATTGGTTTACTAACTCTAATTATTTTCGCTTAAGTTGCCATTCTTAAAATTTCGTTATACTTTTTTCTGCTTTAAATACTAATTAAAATTAAAAAGCCCACTCACTAAACATCATCAGCGATATTGTGAAGCAGTTTCGCTTCCTCGTCATAAAGTATTTTTAATCTTTTTAGTTGATTTCTATCTAGTTAATTTAATTTCTATAGTAATTTAATGATTTAATAATTTCATTTGTTTATCTTACTAAGAAGAATTGCTTCAAATATGTTTAACTTTTCAAACTACGCGAAACATAAATAGGTATTTAAAAAATTAACTTTTTTATTTATAAAATAATTTAGCTTAAATAACACTAAAACTTGTAAACTTTGATTAATAAAGAATATTTGTTTCCTTTTTAAACAATCGTTAGATGTTACTATATATAAAAAACATCGCCTAATTTTATAAAAAAAATTATTAAAGAGCGATGTTTCGAAAATACTTGTTCTAAACGTAATTTATCTAGCTTTAAGTTTTTTTGTGTTTAAAGATATTTTGTTTGCCTAATTTTTTTTTTTTTTTTTTGTTATTGTCTTTCATCGGTCCAATTAATCTTTTGCGTTTTTTTTTTTTTTTTTGCTTTTTGAAATGTTCTCAAAACGACTAAAAAATCTGGCCAGTTTTTCGCAACTAAATACTATTTACGTGGTCAGCAATTGAGAGCGATCGCTCCCGCTTCCTGACCAAGCCTGTTATATGCTAAGTTTCATAGATTTTACTTGATTCTTTATAAGCATTTCTATGTTTTCAAAATTGTTTTCAAGCTTTGGTTGCCAACTTTCACTAGATTGTTTAGCTTGTTTTTATATCTTTTGTGTTCTTTGATAACTGTCTTCTTTAATAGCTTCCATTTCTTTTCTCTTTTTCTTGCTCTATAAGCTTTTGATCTTTCAGCATCTGATTTAGGCATTTTAAAATGTTATTAAATTTAACTTTTGAGATAAATGTTCTGTTATGATTAAAAAAAAACCCGCGAAATTTTCAATTAAAAAACCGCATATATATATATATATATATATATATATATATATATATATATATATACATATATATATAACTTATTAAATCTCATAATTTAATAAGTTATTTTAATTATTAGTTAAGGTGTGATTTTGCAGCAGATATTGCTAATAATTTTATACTTATCAAATTGAAAGATGCTGACAACTACTTTTATTATTTACCTCAATACCAAAAAGTACATTTTTCAAAAATGTATTTTTTGGTATTGAGGTGATCTTATATCATTATTTAAATTTCCATTATAACAACAATATAAATTATGGCGGGGGCTTAAAAATTAATATATATTAATTTTTATTTTACAGACATACATGGAAACATAATTAACTTGAATGTTCTTAAAACATCTTGCGGAAGAATAAATAGAATATTTGCGAACACTAAAAACCCGCCAAATTTGTGAACAAACTAATTCTATTGGTTCAAAAAACACGCTGACTAAGCGAAATAAAGTTCTAGAGTATTCTGTTAAAATGTTTTAGGAATTGTATTATTTACGATTTGTTGTGTTTTGAGATATCTAGTATAAATTTTTTTAAGAATATATTATCAAATGAAATATTACTTTAATATTATGGCTCATTCTCGGAGCCACGTCTGTAAAGCCGTAAAACTTTTAAACTATTATCATTTGTTTACAAAAATAAATGTTTTATAATATATATTTTTTAAATTGTCAAAATTTTGAAAGTCAATTACAAATTATATATTTT